GTCACAATTTATATAATCATATAAATACTTTAATTAACGCTCAGCCATGTTTAAAAAAAAATGTATGACTTTCATCCCCTTGTGACTGTTGAGAAGACGAACTTGTCTGTCCACGCGAAGAAGTGGTCGTACGGCTCGGTTTCTGACCTCGCGATCTATTGTTGTACTCAAAAGCAGATGGTTTACGCTTAGTTGAATTAGTTTTCTTGGGACGACCTCCCGGGTCATCCTTAACCTCAGGTTCCGCATAATCCTGTTGGTCTGGGTAAAGATGACTTTACCTGAACTGATTCATGTACCGCATCGTCGCGGGATCGCGGGTTTCAACCTCACTCACAAGCGTCTGAAAGAACTCCGCATCTGACCATGCAGCGTGGCTCTCCTGGCTCTGATGACCAATCCCTACAAGTATACGATAAAAAAGTCAATGAATTAAACCAAATAATGTATTTTAATATAAATTTATAAATAAAACATTAATCTTAAATTACCTGGCTCTAATATCTCGAGCGTTCTCCAGAACTGGTGAATCATTCTGAGATCAATTGGAATGTCAAAATCAACTGCGTTACGGAGAAGACAGGCACAAGGAAGTCTATGAGTGAGCTGCAATACACAGCCGCAGCTAGTGTGAACATCGGTGCCCAACTTGTGCATCCTCGTAAGCTCAGCGTCCAATAAACTCAGACAGTAATGCGAGACCCTCAGTATCACGCTCGCGAAAAGGATTCCCTTATACCATGTATTCTTATTAGATCTCGAGGCCTCAAGCGCCGTCCTGATAATACGTTACATAACGTTCAATTATAATTAATTAATGCAGTAATATAATAACGCATTTAAAAATTGCAGTACGTACTTGATTTCAGTCACTTGATTATCGATGTGCTTATTAATCTTCTGCCAAACTGTATCGAGCGCGCCGGTGGACGTCTGAAGCCACTCCTTCAACACAGAGTGGGCACTCTCCACCCTACAGGAAGTTGTGTTTCCAAAATGTGTCACTCGGTTGGTCCAAGCCTTCACAAACTTCTCGCGATGCACTAACCATGTGCCCTCCACATACCGTATCACCTCTGGAGAGTTCGAATATTTTGCGTGCAGCTCGGCAACGGCATCGGTGTAGGCATCGAACGTACTGGCCTCTACAATCGCCTTCCACGTACTGTGCGTGAAAATCTCTGAGAATTTTTTACTCTTCCCAAATACTTTGTAGGCTCTGGCTTCCACATCCTTGTTGATGTGCCACGTGTAGAGTAAGTGGGCTGATTCAGGAAAATGCCTCTGAATAGGAGTGAGTAAACCCAACTCTCTGTCACTGACAACAACATAAGGATATACGCTTTGGCCTATCAGTAGTCTCAACTTCTCTAGAACCCAGTCGTAACTGGCCTCTTTCTCGTCTCTGGTGAGCGCATACGCAATTAGGAAGTTCTGGTTGCACGGCGTCATCCCAATCATCTCGACCAACGGCATCTTGTACCTGTGCAAATGAGACCAAGAAGACAAAAAATATAATCAAATAAAAGTTAACTTAATCAAACACACTATTTAAGATTCATACTAATAAAGTATGTATAAAGTAACATGCCTGTTGGTTTTATACGTGGAATCTATGCCGACATACCAGTGATATGTCCGGAATAGATTGGTCGACGCAGGATGGGCCATGAATATATGCGTCAACGCTTTCGTGTTCGGATCGGATTCTGCATAAACTGTATACTCGCTGCTCACGGCCAAATGCATAAGCTGGGAAGGAACGTCTCTACCGTCGGAACTATCTGTCCGCAGCTTATTTCTAAAGTTATATACCTGTCACCGGTTAGCGTTAATTATAATGATTATTATAATTTAAAACAAAAAATTTATTATATTAATAAATAAAAAAGTATATTAATGCGATTAATTTGATAAAAAAATTATTAACTATCACAATAATAATACATTAGTAAATATAATAAAATTTATTAATTATTACAATAACTTTTACAAAAAAAAATTACTAGTTATCATAATTAACTTAAAAAAGTTAATTAAAACATATATTACAAGATATAAATATATATACCTGCCGCACATGAACGTTGTCTCCCGGATTCTTTTCCTTCAGCGCGGCCATAATTTTTTTCGGGGCCACCTGAGCGTCCGTCATGTCACGAATAATTTTCTTAGATGAAGTGCTGAGGCCGCTCAACTGGCGATGACCCTCAGGATACACAACAAATGCATGGTTATGGTAGCCTTTCTCTTCATTGCTACATCTACAGATCTTCCAGTATGGAGCGCCGGACACCTTTTTTACTTTGATCTCAAAATTGCAGCCGCACTTATTCGTTTTTATCTTTCTAGAATTTCCGCCTGTGCCTCTGTACCGTTCGCCTCTATGGCACTTCAAAAGTCTGACAGTTTTCTTTTTGTGGCTCGAAATTATTAATAGGAAACCATTCAGCATTGCCTGGTGTTTTGCAGCTTCAATAGCCTCCTGAGCACTATTATATAATGTACAGGTATCGAAAAGCAGACTGTAATCAACACCATCTCCTCCAAAATCTTCCCATGACTCCTGCTATATAGTACAATATTTATATTTTTAGAACATGTTAAATTAAGATAATTAATTCTAGCATGTAACATAATAATTTGTAACTCATAACATGATATTATCTAACATCCGATTTATATAATTTGTAACTCCTAACACGATCACGATAATATCTAACGACCAATTTATATTATAATCAACATGTAACATAATAATTTGTAACTCCTAACACGATACTATCTAACGTCAATTTACAAGAAAACCAAGACTAACATGTAATATAATAATTTCTAACTCGTAACACGATAATATCTAACGTCCAATTTATATTATAATCAACATGTAACATAATAATTTGTAACTCCTAACACGATAAACGTCTAATTCATAGCATAATCAAGTATAAAATGTAACATAATAATTTATAACATAATAATATAGTCCAATTTATAACATAATTATTTCAAATATATAACATAATAATTTTTTAAAAAAAAAATATGTCCGGCCGGCCGAACCGGATGGACCGGTTCCGACCGGCCGTCGTTTTCGGACGCTTTTATGCCGTCCGGCTGGCCGGTTCGGACATGGCCCGTCCGACCGGCCTTATTTTTCGGACGGCTTTTAGCCCGGCCGGACCGGCCGGCCAGACGGCTTCAAAACCGTCCGGTTCCGGCGGCCGGACGGGCTAAAAGCCGTCCGGAACCGGCGGCCGGACACCTATTTTTTCGTACCTCCGAATTTGACGACATTTCACCGTACACTTTCCTCTGAGATGTTTAGAAAAAATGAGAAGGGCAAAATTGTCCAAGGGAAAATATGTCCGGCCGGCCGAACCGGATGGACCGGTTCCGACCGGCCGTCGTTTTCGGACGCTTTTATGCCGTCCGGAACCGGCGGCCGGACACCTATTTTTTCGTACCTCCGAATTTGACGACATTTCACCGTACACTTTCCTCTGAGATGTTTAGAAAAAATGAGAAGGGCAAAATTGTCCAAGGGGGGCGGTGACTAGTAAAATGGGGGGCGGTGAATAGTATTACCCTATATTATCTCACTAAAACATTTATACTAATAAAAATTTAATTTTAGCATATAAATTTATCCCTTGATATGAGAAAAGTAATAGTTTTATTTATTGTTGTTCACTATATAATATTTAATTATTATTTTATTATATGATAAAATGAATATTGTTAAATAGTGTAGTAGAATTGTTATAAAATTATATGAATTATTTTTTTTACAATATGGGTTTAATATCTTTTTATGATTTGATAATATAACTGTAATATATTCTTAATGATATAATAATATGAGATACGGATTTACATAATACTATGGATTTATTCATTAATGTTAACATACTGAATTAGTAATATATGATTCACTAATTTGTAATCTGTCTCTTTTTATATTGAAAATATTCATGTGATTGAGTAGAGATAACAATTATCTATAAATTCCTTCATTTAAGGAATAATTTTTAAATTGGTCCAAATGTTGAATGCAGCCCGATTTTCTTGTAACTAAAATGAGAAGAAATTTTGAATTTCAAAGTTTCACTTCAAAACCACACGTAAATTTAGACTAATTTTTTTTCGTATTGAATTCATTCTGAAAAATGTAAGATTTATAAATTTATTTCGTAAATTTTAGTACGTGAAATTTCAGATTAAAAATATAATTATTATAAAAAATATGAATGATTGATCTATATAAATGTAACCCTAAATTATATATAATCATTATATGTTTAGATCATTACCTAATAAATCTGAATGCAATATAATGAATCAAAAATATAATTTATGTGTAATAATAAAAAATCTGATCGATTATATATATAGAATTAGTATTTTACAATTAATCTATGTGTAATAATAAAAAATTGATTATAATGTCCTCAATCAATACCTAATAAATCTGAATGAGATTATTACGGTAAGTGAATTCATAAATTGTCTTCCTCAAAATATTTTATAATGATTATAAAATATTCTAATACCGAAATAGTAATGACATTTAATGCTGTTGACTTCTCTGGATACTAAATGTAGTAAATAAGATCCCCTTTTATATAAGTATAGATGTGGTCTCCCCATAAAAATACCCTTTTATTTAAATCTTTCAAATATTCGTGTCTTGATTCTCATCACGACTTCCATACACTGATTGGAAATAGTATAGAAAAAAAATAAATGTGGTCATTAATACCAAATAATGAAGATAGGTAATAATGAACTAATCAGGACATTTTAGCAGCGTAGACTGGAAGTCATTTGACCCCGACCAAATCAAACGGTATTCTTGAAAACGAGTTTGTTATTTTTTAATTTTACTAATTAATCCCTAGTCATTTTGCGTGAAGGTTCCCCTTTCAGGTGTGCTTTTCTGCTCTAAGTCAAGGTCTTATTGAAAATGCCATTCTTAGTTATTACATGTTAATTTACAGTATGGCAATGATTTTAGGATTAATTTACAGTATGTAATTATCTGACCAGTATGTTTTGGTTTTAGGTATTGTGAAGAATTACTTATAATTAAATGTTTCTAATTATTGTATTATTTTGTTAGGATAATTATAAATTTTTAATAGATATAAACACTATCAAATTAAAATGTTATACTCTAAACAAAATATGAATTTCATAATATAAGTATATATTTTTGTCATATCCGTCAATCATAATCNAATACTCGGGTTCTAATTTCTAAATTAAGGTCGATATTAATCGAAAGGCCAAAAAAGGCCGTGAAGAAGGAACATGGATAAAGGGATTCTTTTGTCTTAATGATCTCAAATTTCCACACGCCTACAGTTCATATGATACTGAAAGATGCCGGTATTTGGAAATCAATCTCAGTATCGCTTATGACTAATTCCAAAGCATAAATCAACCTATGGAAGACTTTTCCCTGCTCGCAAGGTATCCTATTTGGAAATCAATCTTATTGGCTTACGTACACATCATTTGCTAGAGATTAATTACTCTACAGTATCCTTGATAATCATCTACCTATTTTTTTATTATGGAAATAATTAAAAAAAAAAAAGCAACTCTTGATATAAATAATTGAAATAACTTGAGTCACATTACTTCAACAACAAAATATTGAAATTTATGGAATTCCAACGGCAATTCAAATAGATATTTCAATATTATTATTTTGTTGGAATTTTTCAATTAATTATGATGAAAAATTCGAACAATAATATTCCGTTAGAATAAGTTTTCAGTTGAATTTTTCGTTTGATTTTAACGCTCCCAACAGTAATATTTTCGATAGTTAAAATATGGGATCAAAATTTCAATAGAAATTGCATATTTCAACATAATTACCAACAGTAAATCATCGTTGAAAACATCAAATCCAGCTAACATTTCAATGGAAAACTCTTTCGGACAATTCCAACTCAAACTATATCATTATGATTGGCTGAATTTCCTTTTAAAAAGGGCCCACTAATTTGACATATTGACCAGAAACCCGACAAGCCCGATAGAAAATATTCTTGGTTTGTGTTTTATATCGAATAATAATTACTAGTACAGATCCCGTGCGATGTACGGGGTGCAGAAAATTAAGGCTATTTATCAAGTTTTATAATTATATAAATGAACAAAGAAAAATGTACAGGATATATATAGTACGTGACCTGTAATAGGCCAAAATGTGAACACGGGTGATGCACGGGGTGCACAATTTTAAGGTCATTTATTAGTACAGAGTCCGTGCGATGCACGGGGTGCACAATTTTCTAGTATGTGTAATACAAATACATATCGTATGCACGGGACAGAAGCACTAAATGAGTTATTTCCACATAGCTTGCCGGTTAAGTAGCTCCTGAACACGGGTGCACAATTTGTACTACGTAATATAAAATCAGAACAGATTTCCATACAATTAGATAATAAATTAGATAATAAATAAAGCCTTTTTATTTTAATAAAGATTTTACGTACTTTTTTTTACTTATCGGATGTTATGGGATTTTTTTTGTTAAACCGATTTTATCGGATATGATACAAATACAATTAGAGGATTACACAAAATCAGAACAGATTTCTATACAATTAGATAATAAGAATGAATTAGATAAGGAAAACAAGAAATTAGATAAAGAATTTTGAATCTACCTCTTTTTAGTATAGATAGACTTTACGTACAAATTTTGACTTCACCGATTTTATAAGATTTGTTTTGACAAAATCAAAGATGAATACTGAAGACTGTTTCTATTAACATTTACAATGTGTATTTAATATTTTTTTTTGGCAAAATATTCTTTTTAAGTGTGATATATAAATATTAAAAATACTTAAAATATTTTATAACATCTATAAAAGCATCTAAAATATTCTATATTATTCACAAATAATGTTTGAAGCTACCTAAATTTTTCTAAACTACCCGTAAAGAAAATATGTCTAAAAATTCTTCATTTAACCTTCATATACGTATATATATAGACAGAGAGAGAGAGAGAGAGAGAGAGAAAATGTGTAAAAAAAAATTATACAAATAATATTTAAAAGTATCTAAAATATTAGTAATGAGACAGGTGAAATTTACATTTTTAAAAAATTTATATAGATAATGGATTTATAGTAGTAATTAGACTTTTATTTATTTACGTTTAAAGTTGTTATGAGGGATGTGATTTTTTTTACTCGTGGAGATGAATTTTATAAGCTGGGTTATGAAATTTTCTTAAACTCGTCCATGCAATGAGTTTTTTAAGCTGGGTATATAGATTTAAAATTGTAAAAAAAAAAAAACTTTCATAAATCATTTGATTTGGTATTTTTGGAGAGCTTCATTAATTTAAAAGTGTAAAATAAATAAATAAATAAAGTACAATTGAAAAAGTTACAACCAATTGTATGGAGAATTAAACTAAATCCAATTTTGTAGGATGCATTAAATATTGATTAAATTTTATATGTAAAATAAAATAAAAAATAACTGGAATAGTTGTAAGTGTTGCAATATTTTATATTTAAAAAAAATAAAAAATTTTCATTTACGTATTGCATACCTACATTTTAGGAACTACATAGATATTCCTAAATTAATATTGCATACCCAATATTTTAGGAATTAATTAAATGTTAATTTGATTTGCATACGAAAAATATTAGATGCATTAATTAAATGATTGATAAAAATAGCAAATCATTAATTAGGGTTGACTATTCTACATACTACATTTAGTAAATAGTATAGCTTTTAATATAAGTATAGATTTTAATTAAAAACGTAACTAACTAAACCATTCCTCACAGTAACTTGTTTAATTTGTCACTTTCTTTACTCTTTGCCTATAAATCCCACACCACACAACACCAAAAACACAGTTATTCATGTCTACACTAGTTTAGCAAAAGAGATTAGAGAGAAAATGGGGTCAAGTATTTCTTGCAAAAGAGTATTGGCATCCACATCAAACCCCCAAAACCTAAACAACGTCATTCGAATGGTGCATCTAAACGGGCACGTCACGATATTAGACTACCCGGCCACAGTAGCCGAGGTCTCTGGTGATCCGGCAAAGTACTTCCTCTTCACCCAAGCCCAGCTCCTTTCCAACATCTCCATGCCTCTCAAACCCGACACAGCCTTAGAGGCAGGCAAGATATATTTCGTGCTTCCTCTTTCGTTTTTCGACTCTCACATGTCCCCTGTGGACTTGGCGCCCGTCACCAAAAGGCTGGCCTCCCGAGCGCAAAAGTGCACGTACAAGCCGAAGAGCAGAGATTGGAGCGTGGGGAGCCCAAAGGAGGCCGTAAATGGTGACGGTCAAGTACAGGTGAAAAAGTCGAGCAAGTCGAAGAGCAGAGATTGGAGCGTGGGGAGCCCAAAGGAGGCCGTAAATGGTGACGGTCAAGTACAGGTGAAAAAGTCGAGCAAGTCGAGCAAGTCGAGGTCGTGGAGGCCAATTCTTGATACGATTAGAGAGATGTCTTTTAATCGGGGGATTGAGAGTGATCAGTTGTGATTTTGTTTGGTGGGTGGGTGTAGAGTAGGTTTGGTTTGAATTTGATGATGGATTGGTTGATTTGATTTTGATTAACCAAGTCAATGTTTTATAAATATTCGATCATCAAATTAATATCCTACTTTTACTTTATATATATTTATTAATCTTGATTTCTTTCTTTAATTTTTTTATCAGTTCAATAACTAGCGCGTGACACTAGAAAACCATTCATAATTACTAATAACATAATTACTAATAACAATGACCATAATTTTACTATTAATATTGCAATCGGGACCATATTTCTGTCTCCAGTGTTTTAGGAGAAACTAAATTAATTGAAGCGGTTTTATTTGAATTAATTTAAGAGAAACAGGGAGCGGAAGTGAAGAATTATATTTTGAACAAATAATAAGGCACATTTTAGTCTAGATGTAGAATGAGAAAATAAGAGCGCGATCGGCTACAAATTAAAATCGATTTTGGTTGACCATATAATATATTTACACTACTTAATTTAAATTATTTATTATTAATATAATTAAATAATATCAATTAATCATTCTCATACATCACATCAATTTTAGTTCACTATTCATTCATCACATATTTTTAAATATTTATTATCTTCACTAATGTCTCACATTCTTTTACATCACATCAACTTTAATAATTATATTTTAAGTATTATTTAAATTCAAATCCAGAATTTCTTTCAATCAATTTTATTAAAAAATAATATATTTCACCAATAAAAATTCAATCAAAATCGATTATATTTATATTTAATTGGACTAAGTTTCTGCCTAAAATGATAAAAATTGACTAAACTCTTAAACTCTGGCTAAACTTTTTTTGAAAATGGCTCCACTTCCGGTTCAAGATTTCTTTCTGACGGTCAGTTCATTATTAATATCATGCATTGAATAAAGGAACATATAACATTGTAAAAATAGTGGTTTGGTATTATCCGACAAACCTAAGTGTTCTTTAGAGGATTTTTTTGTTAGACAAGCAAAATAAAGTGAAGGAAAATTTTCTAATTTATTACTTGTGAAATAATTAATTTATTAGTATTTATTATTAATAATATATGGTATATATTTATTATAGTATGTATCACGGAGTCGTAACCTTTAGGAGAAGTATTTCATAATATATATCTTACATATATTTACTTACCATATATGCCACTTGCATTAATGAGTTTGATTCTATGTCATGATTAGTTTTATCTCTTGTAAGACAAAGAATAAGTGGCAAGAACTATGAAAGAATGAGCTATCCACACATGAAGAATCCTGGACGTTCTGTAGAAGATTCAAGGAGGATTTGGAAAGATTCACCGCAAGATCATCTTAAATTTTGAAGATCGGCTATTTTAGGAAAGTGGTGTTCCAACACCATTTTAAAATCAGACTTCTGAAGATATCCAAATCACATACAGAGATTCTACTTGAAAAAAACTTACTGGACGAGAAGACCCCTTACCTTGGAGGAGTTTGTATATATATGTGATTAAAAACTCATTGAAGGTGAGAACACTTATCAACTTGTTCCAGACTTCATTAAGTGTTTGTGAAACTTTTTGTTTTATTTATTCGGTTCAATTTTTCAGTGTTCTTACACCGCTGAAGAACTTTGAATTAAGTACTTTTATAGCTGAGAGGGATCCATAGCTATTTTTAAAATCCAGACGTTCTGGCCAGGGAAGTAGTTGATAGAGTCGGGTATAGTGTTTGTTAGATTAGGAGAGAGTCATATTCGTGTAATTCTAAGTTGTTTATTGTGCCCAAATCGATCTATTAATGAAAGAACTTTGAGGGGTGGTGAGACGCTCCTTGAAGACATATATTTTTATATCGCTTCCGCTTTTGATTTTGGTGTTCGAACACACCTTGTGCACTCTACTCCTCCGACCCAGTTTTTCATACATAACTGATGTTTTTCATATAATGGTCGACGTGGGGTTGATTATTTTATATTTAAGCGCCAATACAAATTATATACACCAACCATTTTACATCGTGTAAAGTAATACGGCCTTGACGAGTCCATACAACTTGTATAATGTATTAGTAAAGAATTTTAATAATCTATATATATATATATATATATATATATATATTATTTA